GGGTGATTTGGTGATGGGAAACCCGCGGGGATTACAATCGAGATGGAAAAAGTGCAGAATGTTGTAAAAATAAGCTTTTGTAATAATTTAAAAAATAATAAATAAAAAAATAATAATTCTTTAACTGTCCCATTTCTTGGGACATGAGGAAAAAAAAAATTCACATGCCTCTGTGATCATCTCTGGAGAGTCTTAGTAGGTTGGTTCCCAGGTGATTTTTCTGAGTAATTAGTCTGGGAATGAAACACTTATGGAACTGTCCCATCAAATTACAGATTTAAAAAAACTGTACAAATATTATTAAAACCAAATAAAATGGGACTAAGATCCTGAAAGTTTTATAGTTGAGTAAACAAGCTTTGCTACGTTTTATTCAGTGACAGGATTTTCTTCCAAGTTCTTTTTTTTTATGGCTATAAAAGGTAAAGTGCTCGAGGATGCGTCCACGTGTGTTTCCCTCTAGTGACTTTGCAAGCCCCGTGGGAAGTCACAGGGCCAGGGTGTCATGGTCAGTAACACCCTCCCTGTGCAGCAATTTATGGTGAAGAACTTCAAATAAACAGAAAAACAGAAGGACACTGCAGTGACTACTCTTACATCTGACATTGTGCGCTGGACATTTTGCTCTATAGTTTTCTTTGTGATTGCCACCTTAAGATGATTAAGCCACTAGGGTGCGTACTTTAGAAATGTTGCTTATCTCACCTCAGAATGATTAAATCTCTATGGTTAAATACTAATCTGAAAGTTGGGACACTCCCTATAAGCACAAGGGAATCTACGGACTGTTTAGTTAATGTCCTGTAATCATACAGCGGGGAAATATTTTTTCTGCACCCCCTTTCTGTCGCTTTTATATTAAAGAAAACGATTTCTAGTTTATTTGTTACTATATAATTTTTTATTTATATTTATTTTACATCGTTCATTTTTTCAAGGCTTGCTTTTCTCAGGTGTCCCCACAGAACTTCCCAAGTTCCCCGTGCACCGTCACCACAGTCCCCTGTGCTCTTCCCACCCTTGTTTCGGTCCCTCTTTCCCCCTCCCCTGCCTTCCTATAAATGAAACCATTGATATTTTACTTTTTCCTTCTGACTTATTTCACTGAGCATGATCCCTTCCAGCTCCATCCATGTTGCTGCGAATGGCCTGAGTTTATCTGTTTTGACTGCTGATTAGTATTCTATTGTGTATACGACCACACCTTCTTGACTCAGTCATCTATTTTGGGGCATTTGTCTATGCAAATTTACACAAATATATTCATATAGATAATAGTTTATTTTTTATTTTTAAAAAGATTTTATTTATGCATACAGAACTGGGGTACAGGCCAGAGGTGCAGGGATGGTGAGAGGATTCACCAGAGACAGAGTGGGGAGCAGAACAGGCCGACTGATGAAGTACACTGCTGAGGGGAGCAGCAGGCGGGTCA